TGGCTCTACTCAAGAGAAACAGGGCAAAATCCTACTTCTGCTGGAAATGGAGGAGGAAAAAAAACATCACCCTCAGTGTAATGTAGTTTTAGAATATACATTTCTTATGAATAGAGGAATCACAGTGGTGCTACATCATGATCTTAGGGTTATGGTTAAGGTTAGAGTTGTGGTTTCATTTAAGACTCCAATGAAAAAGTTCAAAAGTACAACTTTTCTTAAATGAAACACACAGATACATCCTGCAACCATTTGCAGCCATGGGAGCTTGAACAATTATAGAAATACTGCCTGCAAGGGCTTTCCCAATCATTCCAGCTCTAGCTGTGCAAAATCACAAATTTATCTAAGTTAATCTGTTAATATTCACACATCTGAAGCTGGAAGTTTGCATTAGACCAAATTTAAAGTTTACAAGGTATTATTACTGTACAGTATGCATTATACAAATCAACTTGATCAAATCAATTGACCAAATCAACTGATAAATAGATTACATAATTTTAAATGACAACCAGTCTGGTATAACTGCAGGCCTTTAAAATGCACAACCATTAATCCTTGCTATTGATAAGTGCAACAAAGCTTTTATAGCTTTCTTTTCTAATGCTACAAACTGAAGTCACTACCTTGTCATATACAAATTATTTGGATTTCCAAAATACTTGCTTCTGAAATGTAAGAAATGAGTCAAACATCAGTAAAATTTGTGGTTACCCAAAAAGTCCTTTTCCCAGACTCTCAAATGCCAGCTCAACACTGTAGTCTCAATGGGGAATGCAAACAAAAAGGAAATGGAGTCAGCCAAAAATGAGATATTCTCTGTTACAAGGAAAAAATGAATGCCTCTGACGTTGATCATAATTAGTTTCCTGTTGACTGCCATGTCAAATCTTTCCTAAAGTTATGATATGCAGAAAATCTCAAGTTATTTGCTCCAATCCTCACACTTCCCTGAGGAAAAAAGTGTTAAAAATGTGGACAATTATAGGTTAACATGGCACTAAAAATATTGTGCTAATACATTTTCAGGTCAGCAATGTTTTATTTAAAGCCAAAAGACAATTAATGTGATCTAACACTCACTTCAAATGAGTTCTAATATGCAATTCACCTGAGTCTACAGATTTCCATTCCATTACGTAAAACATATTGACTTGGGGCAAAATGTATCTGTTTTCCTACTGAATCTGTCCTCTGAAAGCCACATACGAGGGTCAGAGGACATTCAGAACAGCAGGGAATGTGGTGAACAGTGGATATGGGGCAGGATGGAGCTTCCTTTCCTTCTGATCTGTATTAAAATGTGAAGAGGAGAGTATGTCTTTGTTGGGGCTGCCCAAGTTAGGTTCATAGAACAATAGAACAGTAGAGTTGGAAGAGGCCAAGAAGGCCCCTGAGTCCAACCCCCTGCCCAATGCAAAGTTAAATGATCCCTCTCAGAAGGCTGTCCAGCTGCACCTTGTATGCCTCTACTGTGGGACAGCCCACAGTCTCCCAAAGTAATTGGTTCTTTTGTTGTATTAAACTAACAGTTGGGAAATTCTTCCTGAAGTTCAGTCAGAAACAGGTTTCTAGGATCATATTAATTGCCCATCCCTGATTTGCACAAGCAACATTGTATCATTTGCTAAATTAAAGACCCTCCTCTCCATTGCAGCATACAACAACAACAGTCCTTTCCACTTGCTGCTTCTTTTGCCAGCTAGGCTGAACTTCTCCTTGTTTATATAGGCCACTGAAACCAACAGTCCTGTGAGGAACAGCTACAGAATCTTGTGCTTTGGGTCCCCTGGGCTTTACCTGTGGTTGATAGAAGAGTCAGCAGATTCCAGCTACATCTCAAAAGGCTAAGGACCCATCCTCTGAGAGTAATAACTTTTGGCTGCTTTGAAAAAGGAACCAGCCTGTACCTTCTCTTCAGTGACCAGCACTAACTACTGTTTCCTTTGCTTTACTCAAGCTTTTTGTTGCAGGCCCTGCATATGCTGTGGAATTCAGGCAATTGCTGTTGATTTTTTTCTGCTTGGGCATTCCTCATGCTGGTATATCTCAATTCTAAGAATTAACTTAGGGACTGATGGATTTTTACTATCATTTCTGAAGCTTAATTCCTAGCATAATTCTCTATTCTACTCTCACACATACCTCCTATTTCCAGGACCAGAGTCCTCCACTCTCCTACTCCATTTGCCCCAATTAGAGAAATCTTTGTTCTATGGTAAAGTGCCCCACTGAGTCCCCAACCAGCTTTCACTCCTGAAGCAGTGCAATATGTCAGCTTTGTTCTGGTGCCTGGTAGGGGATTACAATCTATGTGTGGGTAACCTCTCCTGAGCTGAAACAGTGGAAGTGGTCCCGCAAGAAGTCTAGAGCTCTGGGTAGTGATTTGAGCTGAATGCTAAATTCCCTAAGTGACTGGGAGTGCTCCAGCCAAGGGTGATATAAGGTGTAGTCCAAAACATCTACAGAGGATTAGCTTGGGAAAGACTGGTTTAAAGTATGGTTTGCATAAACAAGCCTGGATGAAACTATAGTTTATGATCTTGACTTTTCTGAACAAAACACAATTTAGACTAACCAGAGTCTCCTCACTCACTTTGAATATAACAACAATTTCAGGTTACTTTAAAAAGTAGAAGATTCAATCTTCTACACAAACCAGAAATGGAGAAGGGAGGAGAGAACACATGAGTCTGAGGTTTGTAAGGTTCATTCCTGCAACATTCAATCATGTTTTAGTACTGCATATTCAAAGGCCCACAGTGTGAATCTGGGGTTATTTTGGTATTTTTTTTACAAAAGCCACTGTAGAGTTACAATGTGTTTTCCTGGCCGTAACCTTAACATTATTGTTTTTTCCTTTGAGTTGGCAAGTATGACTACCACATGGGCAGCAGAACAACTTTCCATAATATTCCATGATATTATGTCAAGTTACAAGGATGGGCAATGTAAAAATTCCTTCTGTCAACAATTACCAGCAACCATAATGACCTGACTGTTTCTTTTACGTACAATCATTCAGATATGATAAACTGAAGCTCAATCCAGACAAGACGGAGGTCCTGTTGGTTGGCGGATCGGGCTTCGGAGAGGGTGAATTGAACCTTGTCCTGAATGGGGTTGCACTCCCTCTTAGGGACAAGGTCCGCAGCTTGGGAGTGCTCCTCGACCCAGAGCTTTCACTGGAAGCTCAGGTAACAGCAGTGGCGAGGAGCGCTTTCCTCCAGCTTCGGCTAATTCATCAGCTGCGCCCCTATCTGGAGAATGACTGCCTTGCGACAGTGACACATGCGTTGGTGACTTCCCGTTTGGACTTCTGTAACGCGCTCTACGTGGGGCTACCCTTGAAGACGGTCCGGATACTTCAATTGGTCCAAAATAGAGCTGCCAGGCTGCTGACGGGGACTGGACGTTATGTTCACATGACTCCAGTTCTCCGTCAGCTTCACTGGCTTCCCATTGAAGTCCGGGCCCAATTCAAGGTGTTGGTTATGACCTATAAAGCCCTAAACGGCTTGGGTCCTGGTTACCTGAAGGAGCGCTTACATCCTTATATGCCCAGCCGCCCCCTGAGATCGGCGGGAGAGGCCCTTCTCCGGGAGCCCTCCATGGAAGAAGTTAGGAGGGTGGTTACTCGGAGGAGGGCTTTCTCAGCGGTGGCGCCTAAGTTATGGAATGCGCTCCCCAGAGAGGTCCGCCTGGCGCCGTCGTTATTTGTTTTTCGGCGCCAGGCGAAGACCTTTTTATTTAAGCAGTATTTTAAATGTTAATATTATTGAATTTTATTTGGCCAGGGCGGCTTGTTTTATAGTGTATGTTTTATATTATATATTTGTATTTTATTGTATGTATTTTAAAATGTTATTTTATTTTTTTGTTGTAAGCCGCCCCGAGGCTTCGGCGAATGGGGCGGCATAAAAATGTTTTAATTAATTAATTAATTAATTAATTAATTAATTAATAAATAAATAAATATGCACAGCTAGCTTAAGCAGACTGATATTATAAAAAGCACTACCTCTCCCCAAATTGTCTATGCCTTGTTCTTGCAGACTTACAGAGCAATTGGATAGCAGATCTGCAGTCAACACAAAAAAGAAATCTAAAAGAAACGTATCTTATAATGCATTAGATTTCAAAGAGGCAGACCAGCTGAAAAATAATGTGGACATTGGATGAGTCTGCACAGTCAGCACACACAGGTTGCTGAAATGTCATAATTACAAGTGAGGCTGGGCAGTGGGATGTGATTTCCAAATTACCCCTACAGAAAAACTCATGGGTTGTGAGGTAGTTTGGAAGTCAGCCCTGCTGCCCATCTTGACAGTTTCAGATGACACAGAGATCCACACATGGCATGGGTAATTATGGAAACAAGGTGGTGTATCACCAGTATATGCAAAATACAGAAATAATGCACCATAGCTTCTTTTCATTCTCCCATTGTGTGAACCTGGTCTCTGACCCTAACATACTTAAAATGCAAAAGTCTTTACAATGCATAAATAAAGAACATTTCACAAGAAATCTATATAATGATTATTTTCAGACTAAAACCATTCAAATTCATGAATGAAAGAAGGAAATAAACCAATACCTGTTAGTGAGTGCCCCTTCAGAAGTCAGGTTTAATCCAGAATTTTTTATCAGGTTTTTGGAAACATATTATACAACTTGGATACATAATAACTAGGTTTAACAGAAAGTGTGGTTCAGAATGAGAGGGAAAAGAAATGCATACATGAGAAATGTGAAACCGTATGGCCTTGTCTTGATTTTTTTTAACCCAAGTAAAAAATGTTGTGTCCATAAAGGACCAGAACTTTTTTTTCCAGGCTTAGTCAACCCCAAATGCTTAAAGCAAATGATAACAGTTTCATCCATCATAATGTCTTAGCTTATTTTTTAATATACTAGATATGGGTTACAAATAAACAAATGTGACCACACTGACACTTTAAGATAGTTTTGAAGTTAATTTAAATGCTTCCAACCTGAAGAACATCTCCAAGGTCTGCAGTGCTAATATCTGGGTCTTCAGTGGTATTAAAAGGAACTGGAGTGATTCTCACAAGAGTTAGCACTCTGGGTTCTGGATATCTCCATAGCATCATTCCTGGATTATCCTCAGTTTCATTGTAAAACACAACTTCATAGGCACCGGGTAACCTCTGTGCTTCTAAAAAATTAAAGGAGGAAAAGCCATAATTGATTATATAATTTCTAAAAAGGGAACATGCTCGTTTATGAGACTGAAGCAATTAAATCTGCTAGGATCAAAAGAAGGGAAAATAAAAAAGCAATTTCCCTAAGTTTTAAAAGGTCATCTTAAAGTACAAGAAATCAAAAGGCTTTCAAACAGATGCTTTTTAGTTTCTGAAAAAATACTGGTAAAAGGAAGTAATATAGGCTGCTACTGAAATTATTTTGTAATTGGAGTGCATTTCAAAAATACTGTTTGTACCTGTATCTTGTATGTATTGAAACATGCCTGTTCGCAAATCATCTGAAGTATGTTCAGTTTTAGAAAAAAGATTTCTGTCTGTGGGAATCTGCACTGGATAGATTTGATCCATGTTCTGCCCCTCCGCACTGTCTTCTTGTACAAGGTAACTCTGCAGAAGTTCATGCAGAAGGACCAAGCAGTTCAAATGTTCTTGTCCCCAGAAAACCTTATAGAAAGCAAAATAAAATTAGCAAAAATATTTATAAACTTTATTGCTGGCTATCACAAGGCCATTGTAATTGCTAGCAAGTTTATTCTAGGAATTCCCCAGACTTATCAAATAAACTGGCTCATGCATCTTGAGGGTTTTAGAAGTTAAGACCTTGGTTCTGAAATACTTAAAGAGGCAGAAGCTATTTATACTGTAAAACATTCTACTGCACATAACTTGCAGTAGGATTTCTTATGACATCTCATTCTGAACTTCCTCAAATTAAGAAACAGGAAACATTGTATTTCAGTCATATAGGTTGTGAGATATGTCTTGAGAGAACTTCCATTATCATTAATAATGCCTCTGCTTCTTTAAAAAACTCCAGCATCACTCCATTTTTTGAGAGTTTTCATGGTTTACTACTGCTATGATTCTTGTAAAAGAATCTTTCAGATACAATCCTTGCCGGATTATTAATAACATAATTTTCATGGGACCTCCAGATCAAAGGTCTCCAAAGTTCTTGGACCTCTGGGCATTTCTGAGAATTTGAGGAATTGCTGGGGGAACCACTAGAAAATGCCTAACCAGTGGATTGGTGCTTTGACATCTACCTGTCTTGACTCTGGATGTTAGGTTGTGCCTTCTTCAGCAAAGACATTTGTTTTTTATCTATATGTAATCTACGGCATCTAAATGTTAGTATGATGGAAATTTTCAGGCAATTTCTCACGCTATTGAATAATGTAGCCATGACATAGTTACTTAGAAGGCAGCAATTAAAGTTATCTTGTAATATGTTTTTGAAAATGCAACTGATTTCTCCAGTTGGAGCCTTCTCCTTCCTATACATGGACAACAAATGTGGAGCAGCATATTCTACCTTAGAGCCCACTGTCTAACAAATGCTCTAGCTATTTCTCCCTCCTCCATTCCATGAGGTAAGGTGCAGCTAGGTACAAAGCAGGCTGCACACAGTGCTTGTGTTCACATGAAATGACAAACAATCCTGTGTGGTTTCCATGGTGCACATTTTTTTGCCTGGATGTGCCTGACTAGTGATTAGGTGGTTTCAACACATGCATGGTATCCACTCTTCTTGCTTAGTCCTCTCACAATTGGCACATATCCCATCAGCCTTTGCATCTGAAATCCAATCCCATCCAGGATGGCTAGAGCAGCTCCTGCAGCAGATGCTGCTTTTTCCAGGGGACTTTTGTGGTCACTGCATACCAGGACTGTGGAAACCACGCTGCCAGGTTTACACAACCATGGTAAAGCATGAATACACTAGAACAGATTGTTGTTTCTTACTGTGGTTTCTAAAGACCAAACATACCATGCTGAAATACCAGAACAGGGTCTGGATGACATGACAAATCATCTTGCACAAGAAATCATTGTGGCTTGTGATGTGTGAACAACCCAGTGTTCTGGCATGTCAGGGGTCATGAGACCCAGGGGTCCAAATGGCTGCTTCTGCAGGTAACATACATGGAAATTAGCAAAATCAAACTTCATATAGGCTAATCTGTTCACAGTTGCCAAGGATCAATTGCCAAACTGTCAACTGAAAAGCATCAAAAAGGGGAAAAAGAGGCAATAGAACGTGTACCAAAATGGGGTGGGGGAGCAATATGATCTTGTAGCTTTAAGTGTTGAACTGACACCTTTCAGTGCCCTCCACTTTTTCTACACTTCTCTGAATCTCCCAACAACTCAAGAAATGGGAGACATTGCCGAGGCTTCGGCAAGGGGCGGCATAGAAATGTTTTAATAAATAAATAAACAAACAAACAAACAAACAAACAAACAAACAAACAAACATTGGCTCCCTCCCCATTTACTGCTGCTGTCATTATGTATCCTTAACAGTTGTAAAAAAAACAAAAAGAAAAGGAAAAGAAAAGAAAAAGAATAATGGCTGGACGGCGGAAGAACATTCTATGGAAATGTAAGGACTGAGAAGTAAATGGAACGGAAATTTCTGCACCTGCATTAATTACACAATTACTGAAATTGTATTTATTTATCTCCCGGGTTCAGATGGCATGATCCACCATGGATCAATGAACCTCCAGAAGAAGCCATTGGTTGTCATGGTGGCTTTTTGCAAAAACATAAGCCAACCTGCAGTAAACAGTCTGAGTTCAGATGGCTAGTTACCTGTGACAGGTTTTTGTTTTGTGTAAACTGGATCGCTCAGTCAGTGTGCCAATGCAATCCAGACAGCTGACATTTACCAATTATTTTTAAGAATTTTTTCAGTTACTGGAGATTACAAAAACCTGTCATAATCAATATTGTGAAGTAATTCCTTGAAAATATTTTAAAATTGTATATATGACCGATGTTTAGTTGTTAGATTTGCAAGGCAGGAAAAAGCATGCACTGCACAGAGAGTACAGAAGAGTTTTTTGCTAATAATTTAAAATATTCTGAAAGGAACACACAGACTAGTATGCCATTTCCATATATTAAAATGAAATGAAATGTAAATAGTTTAAAATGTCCTTAAAAGTAGTGAATTTTCTCATGCTGTTCAACTTCCTAATTGGTCCGATATTCCCATCCTCAGTTGCAATTAGATATTACCACATACAGACCTGCAGCAGGCCACCTCTCACATCAACAGAGACTTTTGGAACCGACAGCTCTGGACCAGGATTACCACTGTGTTTACACCATTTGGCTTCTACAGTGACAGAAGAACAAACAGGTCCAACCAGAGTTCTGCTTTTTTCCTGGAGACTTGTCTTAATAAGGAAATCACTGATGTCAACCATAAATGATGATCCGTTAATTATACCTAGTGTACAAATGGAAAAAATAATTAAGAACTGTGATTTCTGTAATTGACTTTCTAAAACACAACAATAGCATTTTGCTTTGTTGGAAATAATGTGCATATTTCTTAAGTTTCCTCTCAGCTGCCCAGGTTGATTCCTTAATTCGTCCCTGCCAAAAACCAAGGGATGATTTGTGTAACTGGTCCCCAGTTACGAAACCAAAATAGGTGATATTACAACTAAAACCTCTTGCCTTGGAATTTGTGGATTTCTGTTCAAGCTTAATATTTTCTTACAGGCATCTACTTTGGTTTTTATTTCCAAATAAAAATAAGTGAGTATTTCTCTTTATAATTTGTTTTATTTCTTTATATAATATGAAAGAGAGAAAGAATTTGAGTTAGTTGTTCATGGAATATACCAAATAGTTATGCAAATTATGAATAACTGTGTATTGCTATTCTGCGTACTAAGTTGCTAATACAATGCATGAGAGGAAATAAGAGGAAGGGAGGTAATCCTGAGAAATAAAGTGACAGAAGAGCAAAGTGTACATTTTCCAGTCATGTCTGAACAACATTTCTTCTGAGCTACATTTTAGAAATCACATTAATCACCAGAAATGTTCACTCTCTCTCTCAAAAGTTCCTTGACATTTTCAAACCTTTTGTATATTTTTTTCAGGTTTAACAACAGAAAATGCTAAAATTGAATAACAAAATACAAATCAATGTTGTTGTTGTTAGTCGTGTCTGACCCATCGCGACCCCATGAACAACATTCCTTCAGGTCTTCCTGTCCTCCACCATCCCCCGGAGTCCACTCAAGCTCACACCAACTGCTTCTGTGACTCCATCTAGCCACCTCATCCTCTGCTGTCCCCTTCTTCTTTTGCCATCCATTGTTCCCAGCATTAGACTCTTTTCCAGGGAGTCCTTCCTTCTTATTACGTGGCCAAAGTATTTGAGTTTCATCTTTAGTATCTGGCCTTCTAAAGAGCAGTCAGGGTTGATCTCCTCTAGGACTGACTGGTTTGATCGCCTTGTGGTCCAAGGGACTTGCAGGAGTCTCCTCCAGCACCACAATTCAAAGGCCTCAATCCTTTGGTGCTCAGCCTTCCTTATGGTCCAGCTTTCACAGCCATACATTGCAACTGGGAAAACCATAGCCTTGACTATACGCACTTTTATTGGCAGGGTGATGTCTCTGTTTTTTAGTACGCTGTCTAGATTTGCCAAAGGTGTCCTCCCCAGGAGCAAGGGTCTTTTTAATTTCTTGGCTGCAGTCCCCATCTGCGGTGATCTTGGAGCCCAGGAAAATAAAATCTGTCACTACCTCCATTTCTTCCCCATCTATTTGCCAGGAAGTGAGAGGACCGGATGCCATGACCTTAGTTTTCTTAATGTTGAGTTTCAAGCCAACTTTTGTGCTCTCCTCCTTCACCTGCATCAAGAGGCTCTTTAGTTCCTCTTCACTTTCTGCCATGAGAGTGGTATCATCTGCATATCTGCAGTTTTATTTTACTGAATCATCTTTCTTCCAAAGGGCAGGAAGGCTTACATATGTAGTGGAACCTTAAAAGATAATATGTACCATGGTGCACATATAGTGTAGACTCACAAATTTTGGCCAAAATGGTTTCACTTGAATGTCTTTGCCAAATTCTTTTCTAATCCCTTTCAGAGATCTTGCAGCTCACATCTGCTCCCAAATCAGATGTAATCCCTCAGTCAAGACAGTAAACCAGTTCATACATTAAAGAGACAAATTGTGGATCATTAACCAACCCATGATTTTATGAGATGTGTAATACATGTGAACCAGTTTGCCTCAACTATCTACAAATATCCAGTTTCTAAGTTGTTAGCATAACATATAAACATGGATACTTGTAGCTATTTATGGGTCAAACAACCCAGAATTAATCAATCATATGTTTGCTGCTGTGACATGTGAACTGGGTCATAGAGTCTATTCAAAAAGTCCAGATTGGGTGAACTCTTTCCTGTTAACTTTTCAAGGAAGTTGAGTTCCCTGGTGGTGTACTGTTTAAGAGTCACATTGAAAATTACTATCTGATTTGAAATAAAAATATATCATTTCAGTCATATGTAATTTTATCAGACTTGCTGACAAGACACTGTACTTAAAGGCTTGGTTCACACAATTATCACAGCCTACAAGCCAGGTTGTTTTGTTTAAGGTGTGATTCGTGTTGGGAGACATTGTTTAATTACCTGCCTGATCACTGCTTTTTTCACCCAAACTTGGGTATTATGGCTTGTTTCTGAGAAAAACAACCCTGACAGAACCCATGGCTTGTTGTTGGGCTATTTGAAGAGTGTTTCCCTCAGGCAAGCCATTCCATCTAGGTATGGATAACACAAGCTATGCCCAGGTGGGTAATTAGGCAAATGGAACCCAGCACACACTGGTATATATCATGGCTTGGTTAAGCGCAGTGGTCAGGCAAACTGATTCAAAAATTGCATTCTCCATGACCTTCTCAGTCCTTGAAACAGAATACTTGATCCTGGTTATACAAGGGGGAGTTCAAGGACTGGGATGGGTGGAGACACCAGTGGTGCTATCACTTTAAACCATCTTTTCCAGACCACAAGGCTAGCGTTCAATAAGAGGCAATGAGTTTTGAGACTTGACTGCAATATGGGAACAAAATCAGGACCCTCCGGGTGCTCTGAGGTACAAATGTTAGGGTTCCTCCCTGTTATTCAGGCTGACTGGGGCCAGAGAGCACTACTGGGGAAAAACTGGCTTAAACCATGGTTTGTTAACAATCCAGGATCATAAACCAGAGTGTGATCCTGGCTTTTTGCACAGTTACCCACAGTTTGAATATAGCAATAAATTGGCTACCTCTGAACTGGAAGAGGTAAGCTGCCCAGAGACTTTTTTAGTAATTGGGATGGCATACAAAAACCTTAAATAAAAATAAATAAGATGATCCTTTTCAGCTGCTCATGGCTCACTTTTGTGATTTCACTTAGTGCTAAATTATGGTTCAGCAATTCCTCTGAAATGGGCCATTGTTTACCTTGCCTTTTCTTGCTACAAAATAATTCACTAAATTTTGGATGGATTTACAGGAAAAAAGCACAGCAGTTTCATATCTATTCAGTTGTTGTTTATATCTGTAACACCTGAAAGGGAATACACTGCCAGATTTGTTAACACATATTTAACTGAGAAATATGTTGCCTAAAAATCCACATATTTCTCCTACAGTCTGAAGTCCTTCAAAACTGTATTCAGTCCCCCCTCCCCACACACTTAAGACAATAAATATAAAGCACTGGACTTGAGGCCTAGGAATTCTTTCCCTGCCCCCAACTATACCATTCATATTTGGAATTGTCATTGTGAATATTGAATTTCAGCCTACTTAAAGTGTAATGGCCATGGCTTATTTTTCTAAAGTAATTTAATATTTATAAAAGATTAAAGATTTTTAAAAACCTAGGGCCTATGATAGACAGCTGTTTCACGGAACAGTATTTTCTAACCTCTGCTAAGAAAAGAACTTTAGTAAGCCAGAATTCTATCCATTATATAACACAGAGACACCTGTGTCAAATATGTGGTGGGAAGGGAGAAGCAGAGGGATTTCCTTATTAATCTCTTTTAGAAATTAGGAAATATTGGTGCATTTCCTTAATGTAAATTTCCAAATGTACCCATCATGCCAAGAATAATTTCGTAATATAGTGAGTTATTGCTTCTTAAGAATAACATTTATGTTAGAGAACAAAAATGTTCCTGAGCCAATTCTTTTTGCCATAAATATATGCTCAAAACTTCCACTGAATTTGATAGTAACAACAAAAAATCTCAGGCCCAAGCACAAATGTTGTCCAGATACCATGGTGGATTAGAAAGCAGTGATTTATGTAGCACACTTCCACAAAACTGTGCTGAAAAGAGATAGATGGTGGATAAACTGGGTGTGGGTGAGAAACAAATTAACAATGACGAGACAAGAGATGGAGGATACTCGAATAGAGGAAGCTTAGAAGAAGAGGAAGGAAGAGGCGGAGTGACAACAGCAACAGAAAACAGAACAGCCCAAAGAGATGGACAAACACATGAGAGAGAAAAAACAGAATGGAAAGAGAGGTGGAAGAAAGGAAATAGTAGGGCCACTGAAAAGTGCAGAGAAAAGAAAAAACCACCAAGTGAAAAATGGTAGAAAAAGCAGAAAGATGAGGAATGGCACATGGGGGAAGGGAAGAGAGGGTGGTCATAACCTGGTGCTGAAAAGGTGACAAAGCTGGTGCCAGGTGGGCTGCAGTAGGGAGGCCATTTCATAGAAAGGGGGCCACTACAGAGAAAGTCTTCTCTCTTGTTGCTACCCTCCAAGGATCCTTCAGAGCTGGCACTCAGAAGGTCCCAAAAGGGTCTGGTGGATCACCAAACCAATAATAAATATTTCAGTGACACAATTAATGACAATTACCACATACCTTGCAAAATACCAATTAGCACTGACTAATCTGGGTCGGGCATGACTTTGTGACTAACAATCTAATAAGATTGCAGTATAATTAACAAAGGGGCTAGCATGTCTTTCCTTGATTCTGCACTTTCAGAACAAAAAGTCTGATTCAGAGACAGAAGAACCTGATTTAAGGCCTAGTCAGGTTTTGGACCCCCTGGCAATGGGAATTCACCTCTGCCCAGTGCCACAGCAGACTGTGTCCTAGCGGAAGCCATTCCTGCACTTCTCCACCAGTCAGAGCTAGGCTGGGAAAAAAGTGACTAAGTCATCCCAGTCTGAGAAACACTCTTCGATAAGAGAAGGTAGACTTGGCTAAAGCAGCAGAATGTTTCCCAGGCAATGCCAGTGTTTTACAAAGTTTCAACCAAGAAACTTTGTATTTTGTACCTCAAATATTTGGGGGCAACATTGGAAAATATTTCATTCACAATTATTATGAGATAGTGATTAAAAGAATATTATTTCCAAGTCAGTATGAATTTCATTTAAGCCCAACTGATCCATAAAAGAAAAAGCCTCCATGAATTCCAAATGAAGATGATTTACACTGTACAAAGCAACTGCACTGGGATGCAAGAAAAATTTGAAACATATTCTTTATTTTAATCTTACTAAGAGCCAGAATTTTCCTCAAGGACACTGTAACTTTCTTTTTCAGCTGTTCTGTTCCTTCTTTGGAAGGA